TACATATATGTCACCATACGTCTTGCGTCGTGGCGAGTCACTCTGCGTCGAAACTACGTCAATGCTCAAAGAGAGATGGAAGCAGTGAAGAACGATTCTCTACACTCTTGGGACACGGTGAAATACTTCAACGCGGAAGATTACGAATTCAACCGATATAGATCCTCGATCAAGCTCATGCAGAACTTTGAATACTGGGTGGATGTCACTCTGGCCTACATGAACACGGTGCAGGGGGCACTCTTTATGGTTGCCTTGCTGATCGCCAGTTTCATCGAAGCCTTCGAAGTTGCCCAAGGGGATCAGACCGTGGGCAACTTTGTGCTTCTGATAACCTACATGGCTCAGTTGCAGGGACCTCTGAACTTCTTCGGGACGTTCTACAGGTCGATTCAATCAAACCTCATCAACGCCGAGAGAATGCTGGAACTCTTCAAAGAACAACCGCATGTTCTTGACCGAGAAGGTGCCGAAAAGTTGGAAGAATGTGCGGGGGATATAATATTCGACAATGTCAGCTTCAGTTACGACAAGCGAAGACCTGCCCTTGACCGACTGACTTTCCATTGTCCGCCTGGATCGACCACTGCGCTTGTTGGCGAATCTGGTGGGGGCAAAAGTACAGTTATGAGGCTAATTTTCCGCTACTACAACCCAGACTCGGGCCATATCAAGGTTGACGGTAGAGATGTCCAAGACATCACTATTGACTCACTGCGAAAATTCATTGGGGTGGTGCCCCAGGATTGTAACATGTTCAATGAATCCATCATGTACAACCTCAGATATGCCAACCAAAACGCCACAGATGAGGAGATCTTCGAGGCCTGTAAGGCAGCCTCGATTCATGACCGCATCATGGAGTTTCCCAACGGTTACGAAACCAAAGTTGGTGAACGTGGCGTGCGTCTGTCTGGCGGAGAACGTCAACGCGTCGCCATAGCCCGAACAATACTCAAAAATCCCCGTATCACCATGCTTGACGAAGCCACTGCGGCCCTGGATACGGAGACGGAGGAGAAGATTCAAGAATCCTTCAACACGCTCGCGGAAGGACGGACGATGATTATCATTGCCCACCGACTGAGCACCATCGTAAACGCCAACCAGATTCTGGTACTTTCCCATGGAACCGTGGTCGAAAGTGGTACGCACGAAGAACTCATCGCTCTGGGCGGAAAATATGCAAGCATGTGGCGGAAGCAGTCAAGGGCGCAGAAGGCTGCCGCCGAAGCTGCCGAGCTAAGGACTCGGGCGAAGAAGGCATTGGAAGATGCGGAGGCCGACAGTGCCAGCGTCAGTGAAGAAGAAGTCGAGCAATCGAAGAAGCGCGACAAAGGTCAATGGACCAAGGGCCACAAGAGGGTTAACTTTAGTGAAAGCAGTCATCTGCGCGCGAACTGGACAGTGGATGAGCATGATCGAGACGGCGACGATCGATCAGACACGTCCCAGACGGGACATGGGGATACCGTGCACGGTCACTCGGGAAAGCCCCCAGGACATCCTTGAGATGAAACGATCTTATGCTTGAATTTACCACTTGACCTGTTGCGAGCTGGAACCGGTCAGCTCGACACCTGCCCAACCATGTGCGGCTATACATGATATTCGGGTCTTTGGGAGGGTGGTTCTATCTGCTTATTCTTTGTGGGTTGTTTTCGCAAACGAGTATTACACAGTTGTGATCGGACGACCAAAATAACGCCAGCCACGCGAGGGTTTCACAACGGACTGGGAGTTGGAGAGCGCGCTCTGACACGGTACAAAAGTCCTTTGCTACTCCCTTTTTTCCGTTTCTTTCTGTTCAGATATTTTAGGGGTGTCAAGATCTTCATCTCGCTCACGCAAGGAATATACGAAAAGAAGCCGGAGCCTCGTGGCCTTGAGGTGCATGCAGTGACAGGAAGGGGACGAGGGTCATGCGTGAGATCTGTCATCTCTTTCCCTCTGTGCGTGTGATCGAGAGAGTGAGGCAGCGAGAGTGAGAAAAACAGAGAGAGAATGTCGGTGCTTGTGCTTGTGCTTTTGTGGACTTTTGCATCGAACTCTCCACCTCAGCGATCGAAACACTGTACTCTACACTACACAGACCAGACAGATTGGACACATGAAAAGGCCATATAATAGATGATGAGAGTTTGTAATAGACAACTCTTGCTCTCCTGCTCCCCACCCACATCTTTTCCTCGGTAGACGGGTAGTAGTAAGTATCCTGAACTTCATCCCTGGTCCAGTAGACATGAGAGGGCGAGGACGACCAAAGTCAAAACCGGCGTTTCTTCTTCGCCCCATCCGTGGCTGCGATAGTGCGCTTGAGTTCCATCCGGCGTCGGCTCGCGGCTTCTTCGGGCGTTTCTTCTTCCTTCTTGTTCGTCTTTGGCTCGATCGCTGGCTTTGTGCGTGTTGAGCCTGGTGGGGGAGGTGGTGGTGAGTCGTTCTGGGGCTGGCGCTGGCGTCGGGTGGTAGCGAGGGAGGGGTTGCGGGTGCGGGATCGGGACGCAGCGGACGAGGATGGTGACGGGGAGCGAGATGCGGAGGGTGACTGCGTATTTGTTGCGTCTTCTTTACCCTGCGCTCGCGGGGACGGGGATGTAGTTGTGTCGCGTGCCCTTTTGCGGAGACCGCCCAGTCGACTGGGCTTCCTTTTCGCAGGGGACTCGGTGTGGGCGCTGTCTGGGGTATCCTTGCCCTTGGATGTCCCTGGCGATGGCGACGTCGCTTGTTTCTTTCCCACCCCTCCTCCTCCTCCTCCTCCCAGGCGGCCTAGACGACGTCGTTCATGTGCTGGGGTCGAGGGTTTCGCTTTGGTTGGAGGTGGAGATGAGGACGCGGTTGACGATGTGTCGTTTAGATCGTCGTTTTCCTCTTCTTCCTCTCCCCCTGCCTCGGGTGTCTTCGATCCTCGCGCGGCGAGACGTACATTGTGAGAAGGGGGCTCTTGCTCAGCAGCTCTTCCTGTAGAAGAGGTAGATGACCCCGGCCCTGCCGCTGGTGCTGGCGGTGAGGGTGAATCCGAAGCCTTTCTGCTTCGCAATGCGCCGATCTTGGACTTTTGCGTTGAGTGACTGCTCTTATTCCGTGGCGCAACGGGTGCTTGGGACCTTTCGTCGGCAGCATCATCCACTTCTGAAGCTGTCGCCGTGGATGTCGACGCCGTGGAGGCCCGACGACTTGAAGGTGACTTGTTCACGGAAGCGTCCACAGGGCTCGGTGAGCGCTTCGACGCGCCAAAGGCTTTTGTGGCATTTCGTCGACCTAGACCGCCGATTTTCGAGGGCTGTGCTCGTCTGGGGACTGGTTCATCGTCCTCGGTTCCCTCGTCCTCTGTGTTTTCACGTGTCGTCTTCTTAGGAACATCCTTGGACTTCAGGTGTGGTGGGGTCGCTTGACGCTGTAGACATGTCAGTCGTGGGAATCGTGGATACCTTACGTAGAGTCGAACATCTCACCTCGAATTCGTCGTCTGTGGATTCGTCGTTTATATCCGGCTCTTTTATTGCATCTTTTGCGGCCTTTGTTGATGGTGGCACAGACTGGTTCCTGCTTGCATCATCATTCTGATCTGGTTTCTCTGTGGAAGGCAGATCTTTCACCCAGCTTTCATGCTCGGTTTTACTGTGCGTGAAGCATTTCTCACAACCCCGGACGAGGTTGCTCAGCCCGGTACGATCAGCGCCCTCGTATCCCTCGTCGTTGGCGAACTGTCTCGTCCACGACTTCTCGTCGAAACTCGTCATTCCGGGGACATGCTTCTTTGCGTCCGCGATAGACACATGGCCACCCTTGCGGGACGCAAAGCCCGCGATTCCGGGGAAGACCAAGCTCAAGTCCACGGCAGAGTTACCAACCCTGTCGAGCAGGCGTGAGATGATGTGGTCCTTGTCCTTGATGATCCCGAGCAGGGAGTTGATTTTGGTTTGGGAGACGAAGACCTCGTGCAAGCTGGGCCGAAGGACGCGTTCTGCCAGCTCGGAAGCTCGCTGCGGCTCGAGGGTGAAGGTCCACTCAAGGGGCCGGAGTGGACGAGGCAGATCTGTCCTTGTCCGCAGCAGCAGCGTCTGCGAGTTTGCACGGCCGCCGCGAATCAGGGAGTTCGCGCCATCCCCGAGACTTTTGCGGATCTTGGAGAGCAGGACTCCGAACTGGTCCGATGAGACGGATGGGTCAATGCTCGTCTGCTGTCGGGCGGCTGCCGCAAGGATGTCATACTTGTCAAGCGAACACTCCCAGATAGAGATTAGGTCGGTGAGAAGGAGGGTGAATGACTGTTCTTCTGTAGAGAAGGAGTAGAACAGCTTGGGGCACTGTCGACGAGACGTCGTCTGTAGTTCTTGCCAGCCTTCACTGGTGGTATTGGGCATTGTGTCACATGAATCTGTTCACATGCTGCTCCCCAAAAGATCTTAAAGGCTGTCAGTGTCTGTGTAGCCTTTCCAACTTCAGCAGTTGACGTCGTTCGAGGTCGAAGCCATATTCAGGCTGAGGAAAAGAGCCAATCAGGGCAAGTCTTGGCAGCCTCACAACGAGGACAGCTTCGACGTCGTCAACATCGTTTCTTCCTCTTCTCATTTTCACTTCCTGCAACCAATGATGTTAGAGGTCGACGCCCCGATGTTTCTGGCCTATAAGGCGCTATATCGCTGCTATGCTAGGCTGCCCACTCATTTGCCGCCGACCTTGACTGGTTCGGTGGCTAAGTGCTAGTACCTAACAGCGACACGGCCTGTTACTGGTCATCAGCCTGGTGTGTTGTTCCTGACTCCAGCCAAGTTCTCAATGTGTGACAAGGTGAGCAGTGCTCGAACATCTAGCCCCCACCAAGCCCGAGCAAGGCCAGGTATATCATGTTCGTTATTGCCGGTCTCATTGACCCAGTCGTCCTGAGTCATTGTATGTCGGCGTCACTCTCAAGACCTCTCTTTACTCGACTAACAACGATACCGTGAGCTGGTTCGCCCCGAGTCACAGCCAAAGGCAGCAGCTGCTCAACGATCACCATGTCGCAAAAGCATTCTGAGAATCTTGTTGTCAGTGAAATCAAAGACTTCCAGCGGTTTCGCCATATACACTGGCGAGCACCAACTGTTATGGGCGTTGGTTTTCTGGGCGGCGTTATTCTCATGGCAGCCCACCACACCCTCTACCAGAGCCTGGGCGGAAACCCTGCGGATAGCGCTCTGCTGCAGCTATGGGCGATTCGCGCAGGCACAGCGCTCGCCTTCCTGTCCAAGCTGTGTCTAGCGATCGCGACGGGAGTTGCGTATGATCAGTGGATGTGGGTCAAGCTGCATGCGAAGCCGCACGAGATTGGCGTTCTGGACTCGATGTTTGCAATACTGGGCAATGCTTTCGAGTTCCTGGCTGTGCGCATATGGTGGCGACGTCCTGTCCTTACCTTTTTGGCAGCTATTACTTGGTGAGGATACCTGCTTCATAGTACAAGATCCAATCTGACTCGCCGAGGCTCCTCCCCATTTCTGCTATCATCACTCCAGGTACACTGTCTGTCCAGCCCGTTTTGGTCTCTGAAACCGGCGATTTAGTCGTCCCTCAGCGGCCCTTCACAACTGACAGCAATCTGTTCTGCGGCGTGATAACCGACGGTAACACAACATCTTATGCCTCGATGTCCACAGGCCTATTCAATCCGACATTTGCCACAGTCCTTGCAAACCGTGTTCTTCCGCTCCAGTCGTCCAGCACGAACCTAACCTTCAACCTTCAATTCTTTGGCCCTGCCGTCAGTTGCGATATGTCGAGTGACGAAGAATTTTCATGGGCGAAAAAGGCTATACTCGAGTACGAGGATATGACCAGCACGAGAGTATTTTACTTTGGCTGGGCACCACAACCTGGATGGGGACCAGACGTGAATGGCTCATTCTTCGCATCCACAGACTTACAGATCGGGAACAATCGACTGGATTTTGTATCCAAGGACGCGGCTCGTGTGTTTGTCTATCTCAACACCACGGGCGTCGACGAGACTGGCGATAGAATTCAAGGCGTCGCCAGTAAGGCAGAGGCCCAAATGATGACCTGTACATTGTACAATGCGTCTTACGACACGCATTTCGAGGTCAAGAGCACTGGAGCACAATTCGTCACGGCCTCGTTGAAGCTCGAGGCTTGGATGCCTGCCCTCCGCTCAATGCAGGGTACGCCACAGGACACGCGTGTCCGTCAACAGATGAATATGCAAGCCGTCATGGAATCCTTTGTCATGATGATCGGTGGGCCCATCACATACTCCAGAGACATCTCTTTGCCGACGATCAACTCTGTCTACGCTCTTGGGATGAACCGGGCCTTATTCCCCGCGCAGCAAGGCCTGGACCAAACGGCCCTGACGCTCCGTCAAGCCAGACAGAATGAGATGCTGTTTCAGAACATTACGCTGAGTATGCGGTACGGCGTTGTCTCGGGGTAAGTTTTTTCACACGCGTCACGTCAGCTTTTGATTTCCCTAGGGAAAATTCATCTTATTCCTCCTGCCCGGTATCTAGGCCAACTAAATGACATGAAAACCCAGGTCCACTGGCAACGACCAAACGACAGCCACGGCGCTGCGCCAAAGGTTCGAATCACAGTTCGTCTACGACCCGCGAGCGCTCCTCGCGGCGTACGGGCTGAGCGCATTCTTCGCCCTGGCCTGTGTCCTGCTGGGCGTGCACGCGCTGCTCCACAACGGCGCCTCGTACACCAGCTCCTTTTCCACCATCGTCAGAGTCACCCGCGACCCGGCTCTCTCGAGACTGATCGCCGACGAGGGCGATCTTCAAGGCGCCGAGCCCGTGCCGAAACATATTCGCAGAGCGGAGGTGCGGCTGGGGAGGAGCGCGAGGTCGGTCACGGCGGCGCCGAGTTACTCGTCTAGCTGGATTTGAAGCGATTGTCCACTATAGAACCGAGTTTTTTGTGGTATTACCAGAAATTCAACGGGTAAAAGGCCAAGATTCATTTTTGTTTGTTTTGTATGTCATATATATAAAATATCCCCGCGCATTGGGTGTTTTTGGCTAGATCCCCAGGTCTGGTGGCGGTATGTAGAAATCCCCCAGCTCATTGAACAGCGAATCCCAATCGATCAAGTCGCCGCCCGAGTACTCGAAAGAGAGGTTATCCGGGTACGGCGGGGCGCCGAATTCGCCGGAAGGTTGGGCGCGATCGCTCGCCGCGGCAAGACGTTCACTGAGAGACTGCGCGGGCTTCTCTAGCCCGAACTGCTCCTTCAGCCGCCTGATGGTGTCCCACATGATGCTGGACGCCATTCTCGACTTGGTCCTCAGCGCGAAGCCATTGCCCTCCCGCTTTAACGGATGCTGGCTGAGGTAGGAGATGGTGGTACACGTTCGCGTCAGGTAGTCGTGCTCCGTGACGGTGCAGGCGTGCAGCGTGTTCCACGCCTGGCCGATTGCCTTTCTCGTGGCGGCGAGGTCGACCAGCGGGTGCTCGCTGTCTCGAAGCATCAGGAGGAAAAAGGTCGCCGCGATGAGCGATTCCTTCGTGTGGACGCTCCAGGAGATGATTTCGTCTTCGGCGTTATTGGCTATGTTGATAAGCTTCAAACCTGTCGCAAGAGCCGGGCCGATGAACTCGTCCACGTTAGAGTGTCGGCCGTTTTCAGTCGTCGAGTTTGAGGAGGTGATTGCGTAGATATACAGGTTCAGCTTCGATCCGAGGAAAAGAACCTCTTCGTGTGGTGACCACAAAACCCCGTGTGTCGATTCCATGAGCGAAAATTCCTTCTCAAACATGTGGATGGCCGAAATCGAGCTCTGGAGGACACCCGCCGGACTGAGGTCGGAATTGCCTAGGGTAGTATTCGTTCGGTATGAAAGATATGCGATCTGGAGTTGTTGCTTCAGCCGCAAGGGAATAGCGGGAGAGGGCGAAGACAGCGCTTCGAGGATGGTATGGTCGATGGGTGTGGTGCAAGGAACTCCGATTCTACGACTCGCCCTGATCGCAGAACATTAGTGGACGATCGAAAAGGTCGGGGACAACATACATCTCATTGACGATGAAGCAGGCAACCCATGCTTTCCTTCTGGGCACAATGGCGTCTTCATCGAATTTGGAGCCGTAGATAAAATCATTGCTATATTCCGGTCGATGTAAACCTATTTGGAGGGCTGCATGGGTGGCAATCCCGCTGTAAGTCCACGACAGGTCGGTCCAGCTTCTGTCATCGCCTCCTGCCCAGGTGCAGAGGAGCAACAGAGCTTGAATCATTTCAACTGAACGATTTGCGAGGTATTCGGGACTGAGGACAAGCCTCTTCAGCGGCTGGCTGAGCTGAGAGTACAAGCTGACATGCTGGCGGCATTTCGCAGCGACCAGGATAATGCTCCAGAACAGAGGAGGCCATTTCTTGGAAGACCTCAACGTGACCGAGGGTGCGGACAATATGGGAAATCGAGGATGGTGATGGATGTAGTATCTTTACGACAGTGTCAGCGTGCGACGCCGCAAGACTTCACCACGAAACTCACCGCTCAAACAGCTCAACGATGGTATTGGGATGAATAGTGATGTTTTCCAGGGTCACTGATTCCAGTTCCCCGGCAAAGCTCGCGAAAGGGAAAGTCGCAAAGTCCTCCTCACCCCCAGGTAGACGTGCCTGGGGTTCGGTCGACGCACGGTCAGAAGCAGACGGCGCATGTTCTAGTTTCTGTTTCGCCTGGAGAAGCTCCTCTTCCAGTCTCTCAATACGCCTTGAATCAAGTCAGGAATTTCCATCCAGAGGACGCGTTTGACTTACTCCTGTCGCTTCTCGCGCCGGAAGGAAGAGTCGATCAGACATCGTGACCCAGTTCTACTACATCTGCTACAAGGAGCAGGGAACGTCTGACTGGAGTCACATTTCAACTGCGCGAGAGGTCAATGACTTAGTCGCATATTCAAGGGTACATGGAGGACAAGCCGCACTAGACAGCATCGCGTTGTGTGCTCAGCCTACCTTCAACTGGCGGCATTGAGTGCATGCCGGGCCTTTGTTTCGAGATTTGTGGATCTTGTCCACGGTCTGCATGATGAAAACTCAGCCGTATGACGGGAGAGCCGCCAAGGCATTTCGGTGAACTGGAAGCAAACGAGCCAACAGGAACATCTCATATGGTAGATGTTGCTCTGTATAGAGAGAAAAAGATGGTGCGAGCTTGAAGTGTGTCACGTCTTCCAACCTCGTCGAATTAAATTCTGCCGAAGTTTAGCCACTGAGTTGCGCCTTGCCCGCTGCCCGCCTCTTTTTTATTCAACAGGCAGGAAACCTTGCAGAGATCACACTTTGCACTCTTTCCACGACAAATCAAGGCTCAAGACACGACTATGAGCGACGTCCAACAGGCTTACAAGCGGAAGCGATCCCAATCCCCTCCACCCTGGCGGCGGGGTGATGACAGCAGACAGTATCGAGAACGAGATGCTCCAAGAGGAGGGCGAAACCATGGCCAGCCTCAGCGATGGTCCCACAAGGACCAAATGAGAATCAATCAGATGCAGGAAGATGAGCGCATGAGAGAGTGGGTTGCGCAAGAGGATGATTTCGTTCTCAAGCAGGCTAAGAAGAAGGCAGACATCCGAGTCAAGGAAGGGCGAGCGAAACCCATCGACTGGTTGGCAGTAACCCTCCGTGTGGTCGACCCTACCCGCAATCCGTTGGATGATGAGGTTGAGGAGAAAGATCTGGACTTTGTGGACCCGGACAGCGTCTTTGACGGACTCTCTGAAAGCCAACTTTCCGAGCTGCGCCGAGATATTGAGACATACATGAATCTGGAGAAAAACAGGAAGAATAGGGACTATTGGCAGACCATGCAAATCATCTGCAAGGACAGGCAGAAGAAGCTACGTGCGTCAGGTCCAGAAGGAAGAGCAATGAGCTCCGTGGCGTCCGACATAGACAAGCTTTTGGGTCCCAAGTCATACGAGCAGCTGGAGGTATTGGAGGGACAAATAAGAACCAAGCTGGACTCGGACGAACCTATAGATACCGACTACTGGCAGCAGCTCTTGGATAGCTTGCTTGTTTGGAAGGCAAAGGCAAAGCTCAAAAGAGTTTGTCAGGACGTTCTCGAGTCGCGCTTGAAGAACCTGAAGCAGGAGAACGAGCAGAAAGCACGCTTGGTCCAGCAACAACTTCAGAATGCTGGAGTTGAGCCCACAGTCTCTCCCCAACATTCGAAGGAGGTTGATCCAGACCCGCTATTGGAGATTCCGACAAAGGACAAAGGCCTGGAAATCCAGGACGAGAAGACGTTTCTTCAAAATGTGGCAGCAAGCAGGAGGAAAATCGTTCATATGGGCTACGTTCCAGCTCCCAAAGCTGGTGCCAGCACGGCCTCGACGATCCCGACTTCACTTCAGCCTCGACCAGCGGCGCAACCATCCAAAACCGTGGATCCCACCAGTCGATTTGACCGCTCGACAGAAGATGTATCCTCAACAACAAAAGCCCTCTTTGACCGCGAAGTCGCCAGAGGCGTCAACGAGAACGAGGAGATTTTTGCCGGCGAGGAAGAGACGTCGTCCGAATCCAAGCCGCTCTGGATGCAGGAGTACGGGGGCAAATATCGGCCGCGCAAACCGAAGTACTTCAACCGGGTCCAGATGGGGTACGAATGGAACAAGTACAACCAAACCCACTACGATCACGACAACCCTCCACCTAAAGTCGTCCAGGGTTACAAATTCCACATCTTCTATCCCGATCTGATCGATCCTACAAAAGCCCCCACGTATAAGATCATCCGAGAAGGAGGTCGAAGGAAGGGCCAAACCATGGCACCTGCGGGCGAAGAAGATACCTGTATCATCCGGTTTATGAGTGGGCCGCCTTACGAGGATATTGCGTTTAGAATTGTGGACCGAGACTGGGATTATAGCTCCAAGCACGACCGAGGATTCAAGAGCACGTTCGAAAAGGGTGTATTAACGCTGCATTTCACCTTTAAGCGGGTGGTGTATCGAAAGTGAGGAGACGTGGTGGCGCGTCAGCAGACAGAAAGAGGTTTACGCAGATTGCTAGCACATTGTTTGCTTTGGACCGAGCTGAAGGAGCTGACAGAGCTGACGAGGCTGAAGACTGTCGGTATGCCTTATGTGAGGGGCCTTGTACTGCGTGTCATGAAGAGTCACGTTGGTCGGATTCTATCGACCTGGCCCCCCCCCATTGATGTGACGAGAATACGCAGCGAGTTTTTTAACGAAGTGATCAATCAAGCAAAGGGTTCACGATTGCCTGCCTGACCCATTGATGACCAACACAACAATACACGTCCTCCGAGATCTGTCAGATCTGTCATACTGAATGCTGTGTTTTCTACTGCCTATGACCTAGTTTCTAGTCTCTAGTCTCTCCGTCTATCCATCCCTCCTATCCCTCCTCGGCCTATCTATCTACTCGTACCTCTCGAGGAAAAGGAGGGGAGAGAGGATGGGTGGCCCAACAGAGTAGTGTGAGTGGTGAGAGGTGCGAAATGAGAAATGAGAGAAAGCGAGACGCCGGCCGGCATCCCACGGAATTCAGATAGTGATGGGTGATTACCACCAGTACTTTGCGATTCCGACATGCAAGAGGCGTGTCTGTCTCTGTATCTCGCATGCCCCCTCATTATTCACTCTCTACCTCCTCTACCTGAAAACCTGTTCTCACGACCCTTGGTACCCTTGGTACTGCAGCAAGGTAGGTGACTGGTGCGCCACCGCACTACCAACCAACCAACCATGCAGTGTCGATCCGTCGATCCCATGACGTCGAGTAATTGCAGCACCAAGTACCTACTACCAAGTACAAAGAATCAAGTATCCAGTGTCAAGGTTCTAACAGTTGAACCGGTGAGCGGGACGATAGTGTCTCGCGTGGTGCCTCACTACCATGAAATAA